CCGCGGCGCGCATCGGTCTCCCCACGCCTGATGGTCGGGCCCCCGTGCCGCGCGGTTCAAATGGTTGTCCTCAAACCTCAGCACTTGGGGTCCCTGCGACCCAATGGTCTGGCATCACTATGGGGTCCGCATCCCAGCCCCCGCCTGTGCTGGGTCGGGGGGCACTAAGGGATGAATGGTTTCAGAGATAGGCTCTTTCAAACCTCAGCCCCCCCCTTTTAAAGATTTATTTCCCTATTCGGGGGAGGGGGAAGAGGCAGAGAGCATCTCCTGCAGACTCCCTCTGGGTGTGGAGGCCAACTGGGGGCTTGATCCCACCACCCTGAGATCATGACCTGAGCAGAAATCAAGAGTTGGACACTTAACCCACTAAGCCACCCAGGCGCCCCACTCACTCCCCTTTTTTTAAGCTCCAGATAAGCAGGGATCTTTTTTTCACTGCTAAGATGGATTGCCATATCTATATGCACATTGAGTTTTTTGTTGTAAATATTCGTGGTGTAAAACTTACCATTTTAACTATTTTCAAGTGTGTGGTTCTGTGGCATGAAGTCCGTTCCCGTTTGACAGCCATCACCACCATATAGCCACAGAAGCTTCATCTTAAACTGCAACTCAGAGCCAATAACAGTAACTCCCAATTTCTCCTTCCCTTTATAAACATTTATTTTTTACCTTTAAAATGGCTGAGATTTCAGTCAGGTTGTGAGTATGCAGAAGGAATCCTGCCACCCCAGCCACCGCCCGGTTCTCTTCCCAGAAGTCTTGGTTCTTTATCTTTCCATCGAAGTTTATGCATGATACATGCAAAGACCTTCTTTCCCACCCAGCTTTTCCCATTTAGCTGCTTCTTGGAGATCATCTGGTTCTATTGTCTACATGTGCCTTAACCTTCCCAACTCGCCTCCTGTTGGTGCACAATTAGGCGGTGACCAATTTTTTTTATATGGTATAAGCTGCTTTTTATGTAGCGCATTTTGTTTAAGTGTTAGTTTTCCTTAGGAGATATTTCAGGAATTGGAATCACCGGGCCCGGTAGAACGTGTCAGGTAATTTTGATAGCTGTTGGCAAATTCCTAGAAGGAAGTTGAATCCGTTGTTGAAGCCTGGCCACCAAAGTGTGGAGGTACGGGCGCCTTCTCCAGCACACAGCTCTTCAGTCTGATGGTGAAAATAGTATCTCGCTGTTGTTTACATTTGCATTTCAGATGGTTATTGTTTTAAGTTGTTCTTGCGATCATGTTTGTTTCATGCAAAGGCGCTAAAAGTTGTTTTGGAAGGTTGATGATAGGTTGCTCTGGGCAACAGTCAGGGTGTATTCTCTGAAGACAGGTCACCTGTGAGCCTCAGTAATTTATGTTCTGCCATGGTCGCGGTGGAAAGGACAGCACAGATCTTTACGAAGTTCTCCAAGTTCATATGATGAACCCAGCCCCCACGGTGATGGTGTCAGGAGGGGGGCCGGTGGGAGGCCGTGAGGTCAGGAGCGGGGAGCCTCATGATGGGATTAGAGCCCTTACAGCAGAGGCCCCAGAGCGCACACCCTTGCCCCTTCTGCCGCCGTCTGAACCGGGAAGTGGGTCCTCCCCAGATGCAGAATCCGCCAGGACCTTGGTCTTGGACTTGCAGCCCCCGGGACCGTGAGAAATCAGTGGAGGTTTCTAAGTCCCTCAGTCTGTGGTATTTTTTGTTACAGCAGCCTGAACAGATTAGGATAATATTGTATATGCATGATTTTAAAACTCAGTTACCAGACCTCTTCCGTACTCACGTCCTCCAGGTTTTGGCTGGTTTGTTTTTTTTGAGATTTTTTTTTTTAATTTTAATTTAATTTAATTTATTTTAAAGATTTTATTGATTTATTTGACAGAGACACAGCGAGAGAGGGAACACAAGCAGGGGGAGTGGGAGAGGGAGAAGCAGGCTTCCTGCTGAGCAGGGAGCCCGATGCGGGGCTTGAACCCAGGACCCTGGGACCATGACCCAAGCTGAAGGCAGACGCTTAACGACTGAGCCACCCAGGCGCCCCTATTTATTTTATTTTAGAGAGACAGTGAGTACTAGTGGGAGGGGCGGAGGGAGAGGGAGAAAGAATCTCAAGCAGACTCCACACTGAGCATGGAGCCTGAAGTGGGGCTCGATCCCACGACCCTTAGATAACCACTTGAGCTGAAGGCAGATGCTTAACTACCACCCAGGCACTCCAAAGGCGGCCACTATTCAAATCTCTTATTTTCCTCCATATTTCTAAATAACCTGTTCATATTCTTTTTTTTTAAATTTCTTTTATTCTTTTTTCAGTTTTGGATAGCATCTGTTGATTACCACTGTGTAGAAAGATGGGGTTCTGTTCTACCCCAACAACATCCCTTCCTGCCTGTCCTCCTCGTGCAGTCAAGTGGGTATTCCTTTGTTTTTGTTATTATGATTGTTTAAACCGTACTCTCTTCAGTCAAGGAGGCATAAATGTCTGGCCACGTGCTCGTGGGCAAAGGCTCCCTCATTTAATGGAGAACCTTGAAGGAACAAGTCCCCTATAAAGGGGCTGGGCCTAGATCCCACACCAACACCTTCAGCCCAGGACCTACTCACATGTGTAAAATCAACTCCTCGTAGGGCCTCTTGGGTAAATAAATATATTTATTTTCGTACTCTCAGCTTTTGGTTTTATAGGTTGTGGCGTTAATGCCTCTTAGGTCACAGAGAGAATGATAAACCAGAGGTCACTTTATTCTGATTTTCTGTTTGTTCCATTCAAGTGTTTCAAAGGTGCGTGGAAAACGGAGTAAAGCTTGAACTTTCAAGGCCAAGTACCAAGAATGAAGAGCAGGGTGTACTCCTGTAAGCCTCAAGCATCTCCCAATATCCTCCTCAGATTTTTTTCTGTTTTAAAACGTTTTTTAAAAAATCGTGCTAAAATATACATAGCCTAGGGGCGCCTGGGTGGTACAGGCAGTTAAGCGTCTGACTTTTGGGTTCGGCGTGGGTCACGATCTCAGGGTTGTGAGACTGAGCCCCGTGTTGGGGTCTGTGCTCAGTGCCCAGTCTGCCTGGGATTCTCTGTCCCTGTCCCTCCCTGTGTGTACTCTTCCCCCACCCCCGTCTAAATAAATAAATAAATCTTCAAAAAAGTAAAATGTACATAGCCTAAAATTTACCATCTTAACCATTTTTTTATTAGCTCAGGGACGTTAAGCACACTCATTGTAATGCAAACACCACCACCGGTTCACAGAACTTTTCCATCTTCTGCACCTGGAGCTCTGTCCCCATTAAACAAACTCCCCATCCTGTACCAAGCCCCTGGCGCCCCCCTGTCTTTCTGTATGGATCTGACTCTCCTAGGGACCTCGAATGAGTGGGATCTTACAGTGCTTGTCCTATTGTGACTGGCTTTTCTCATTCAGCATAATGTCCCCCAGGCCCTTCTATTTGCTGTAGTAGGTGTAATGACCTTTCCTAAGGCTGAGTGATTGTCCACTGCATGGAATGGGCCGCATCGTGCTTTTCCACTGAGAGACACTTAGCTTGCTTCCACCTTTTGGCCGTTGTGAGTGATGCTGTGAACACAGGTGTACCAATATCTGTTCAGGTCCCTGCTCTTAGTTCTTTTGGGCAGATACTCAGAGATGGACTTGCTGGATCATACGGTAATTCTCTTGTTGGTTTTTTGAGGAACTGCCGTGCTGTTTCCCATGGCAGCTGCATCATCTTGGATTCCCACCAGCAGGGTACAAAGATCCCAGTTTCTCCACACCCCTCTCAATTCTTCTTTTCTTTTTTGTAGGAAATATTTTTTATTTATTTTAGAGGGAGAGAAGCCGACTCCCCGCTGAGCACCGAGCCTGATGCGGGCCTCGATCCCACAACCCTTGAGATCACGACCCGAGCCAAAACCAAGAGTCGACGCTCAACCGACTACACCACCCAGGCACCCCAACTCTTATTTTCTTTTTCCTCTTTGTTTTTATTTTTATTTTTAAAGATTTTTATTTATTTATTTGACAGAGAGAGACAGTGAGAGCAGGAACACAAGCAGGGGGAGTGGGAGAGGGAGAAGCAGGCTTCCCGCTGAGCAGGGAGCCCAATGCGGGGCTCGATCCCAGGACCCTGGGATCATGACCTGAGCCTAAGGCAGATGCCCAACGACTGAGCCACCCAGGCGCCCTCCTCTTTGTTTTTAATAACAGCCATTCTAACAGGTGTGAAGTTGCTTCTCATTGTGGTTTTGGTCTGCATTCCCAGACTTCGCTTTATATTTCAGGTGATCTCGCAGTGTTGATGAGAGGAAGTCTCGGGTGGTGTCCCTCCAGTGTTAATGTGCACACAAGTCATCTTGGGAGCTCGTGGAAATCTGGATTCAGGAGATCTGGATTGCGGCCTCTGCATTTCTAGCAAGCCCCAGGGGATGCCAGTGACAAAAGCTGCTGGTCTGAAGGCTACCTGTGAGTAGCAAAGACAGACGACAAGAAGTGCATCAACTCCAGAATCAGGCGAACTGAACTTGGGTGCGTGTATAAGTTTCCTAGCTGTGGTGACCCCAGTCTCTTCTTTTATGGACCAATAGCAGTGCCCCCTACTATAAACTGCAGAGTGCAGGGCTTGGACACAGAATAAATGACGGCCGTCCCCAGTAGCTGCTGCTTGGCCCGTCCGTGGCTGGACGAGCTGCCTGAGACAGAACTGAAGAAGTGGGGTCCTCGTGTGCTGTCAGCAGGCACCATGTGTGGTGGGGCGTGGGGGCCCAGGGTCCCCTCCTGGCTGCAGGCTCCAGGGTCTGACCTTCCTTGAGCACTGGTGCCTTGGCATTTCAGGAGAGCACGAAGGGCCTCACTGCTCATTCAGTGACCACCCATCGGGGGTCTGCCCTGCGTCACAGTGCTGTGCCGAGTGCCGGTGCGGGACTGTGGTCAGCAGAAGCAAGCCGTCACAGCCCGGCACGGGAAGTTGGGCCTGGGCCTAGTCACACTGCTGCCCTTCCCTCCTGCTTGGGGACCAGAGGGGGACCAGAGCTTAGTGCTCCCGGACCTCGTGCACGACAATTCTCAGAGTCTTCAGTTGCCTGGCCCGCCCATCTCTGGCCACTTTGCTCCAGCCTGTGCACTGGGGACTGAGTCCTTACATGAATTGTTTCATTTATGCTCATGATAGACTGTTGTCTTAAACACCATTCCTAGGCAGAGGAATGTGAGGTATGCTTGGTGTCCTTTAATTACCCTGAGAACCTGCCCCAGCTCACCAAGCACTCCCATCTAGAGAAATGGATCTGAGGCAGAGTGTCCAGAGCTGGGGGCTGGCTGGGACAGATCTGGTACAAACATTCCTGCATCCTGGAGACCTTCAGGAGCCTGTGTTCAGGGGAGAAGGGGCTGGACGTTGCCCCATGATTGCTGCAGGGGACACCAGCCCCCCCCTTCCTGACGTCTCTTTCTTCTCCCAGAACCACTGTTTCTTTGTAAAGTTTTCCTGTTCATTAAGGAATGTTTGATGCACAGAGCACAGGTCATGTGGTCATTTGAAGCATCCCCCAGCCTCCACCACTCACTCTGAGATCCTGACCAGTTCTCTGAAATCCTTGGGGCCACCGTCCCTCCCGGGTCTGCTCACCAGAATGCAAGTCGGTGGAGGGCCCTGCTACTGTTGTGGTCCTGTCACTGGTGGCACTGTGTGGCTTCTGAGCCTTGCTCTTCTCACACACAGTTACATCTCTAAGGGTCGCGCTCTCTCCTTTACAGGGAGGATTCCGTGTTGTGGATCCAGGGCCACCTTGGCTAGAGCCCAGCATGTTCAGACACCAGGCACCTGCCAACATCACAGGAAGGTGAGAGGTAGCGGGGCTTGTGGCAGAGATGGAACAAGAAGCAATTAAAAACTGTCCCGGCACGAGGTTGCCCCCAGCCTTCACCTTTTCCAACTCCCAAAACTGTCCTTCATTCTGTCCCTCTTCAGAAAGCAGCTGTATGACTTTCTCATCATCACAAAAGGAAGGCTCTAAAGCCTGTGATTCTCTTCTAAGCTCTGTCAAAGTCACATGTACTCCTCTCTCTCCATTTGTGAAGCCTTCTCGGGGCCCCTCCAGCAGGGCACGATGCCGGGTGAGGCAGGAGGGAGCCCTGTCCTCGGGAGCTTCACAGCCTGCCTGTGGAGAGGAGACAGCTCGAGTGTTGCTGGAGGTGGTGTGAATGCTCAGGCCTCACAGACCAGTCTGGGGGATGACATGATTGTCAACTGTATCTTGAACAAAGGTCACTGGCCACATGGATGACTTGGAGCAGGGAGACCCCTAAAGGTTGTCACGGTAGTCTGTAACCTCTGCTGTCCGCTGCAGCCTAGATGGTGACATCTGTCATCTACAGCTGTGGTGGTCTGTGACATCTGTCGTCTATAGACTATGATAGCGTGTCGTCTGTCGACCCTGAGAGCCCATGTTTGTCGTCTATAGACCATGATGGTCTGTCACCTGTGTCGTCTATAGACCAGGATGGTCCGTGTCGTCTGTTAACTATGACAGCCCATGTCTGTCGTCTATAGACCATGACAATCTGTCATCTGTGTTGTCTGTAGGCCAGGACGGTCCATGTCGTCTGTCATCTGTTA